GTTTAAGGGCCAACCGTACATCTGCTATTCTTCCATACATCACTTACTGCCTCTTCTCACAGACTTGGAATCTGTCTTCTAGGCTCCTGAACTCACATCTCTTCAACATTTTTCTCTGAATAGACAGCACATTCACCCTGCTGCTTGCCTGCTCGAGCCCTTGCTCCCTCCATCCACAGGTCTTGCACGTCCTGTTTTCTATTTCTGGAGACTATGCCTTTGTTTCCCAAGGAAATATTTAGTCAGCTTGTAATCTGTCACTTATATCTATGTACATCTCTGAATGGTCAACCTTTTAATCTTTTCAGATTAAGATTGCTCAAAGAAGGGGCGCCTGGCTGGCTCAGTCGGTAGATCACCTGACTCTTGATGCCAGGGTCCTGAATTCAAGCCCCACATTGGGCATGGAGCCTACTTGAAAAAAGTAAAAATAAAAATAAAAAAATAAACTTGCTCAAAGAGGAAATTCTGTGTGGATTTTATGCCCTACTGCAGACTAGAAGGGAAGCATCATAGAAGAGGGGAGATTTGTTCAGAAGGGGTCCCTGAATTATAGCATAAGTATTTTATTTTATTATTTTATTTATTTATTTTGAGAAAGAGAGAGAGAGCAAGCAGGGAGGGGCGGAGAGAGAGGGTGAGAAAGAATCCCAAGCAGGCCCTACACTGTCAGCACCGAGCCAGACATGGGGCTTGAACTCATGGACCGTGAGATCATGATCTGAGCTGAAACTAAGAGTCGAATGCCAAACCGACTGAGTCACCAAGGTGCCCCACAGCATAAGTATTTTAGATCTTATTTCCTTGTCCATTCCTTTTTCTGGGAAGGAATTTACAATGCAGAACTTCTAATTTTGGAGATTTAACATTTAAAAAGGGTCAACTAATTCATGATTTTAGCCAAAGGCTATTACAAAATACAATATAGTCTTTAAAGTGAGGAATAAAACACAGAATAAAGCCTTGAACTATGGGCACAGAACTTTGTAACAGAATTCTCACATTTATTTGAAATATGTACTCACCTAATCAAAATGTCACAAGGAATAACTCACTAAGGTTGAGCTCCATATTTGGAAAAGGGACTATATTAAGTTCCCTCTGGTTTGCCTAAGAGCGTCCAACAAGAAGCTTCAGAAATTTGTTGAATTGAAGTTTTATTAATATTCTTGAGGCAGTTCATACAAATAAAGGCCTTTTTAGGTTACAGACTTTTACACAAAATAGTAATATACTCTGAGGAAGTGACTCAGACTTGATGAAATTTGCTCCCAAAAGAAGTGATTTCTAGCATGGTAACACAGTTCAAGTTACCTCTCAGTTTCCACATCTGTAAAATAGGACTGCCTTGAAGTGTTACTGAGGTTAAATGAAATAACATGTAAAATCCTTTGTTGAGTTTATAATTTTTTGGTAATGTTTATTTATTTTTGAGAGGGGGGCAGGTAGGGGCAGAGAGAAAGAGAGAGACACAGAATCTGAAGCAGGCTCCAGGCTCTGAGCTGTCAGCACGGAGCCTGACACGGGGCTCAAACCCATGAACCATGAGCTCATGATGTGAACTGGAGTCAGACCCTTAAACAACTGAGCCACCCAGGTGCTCTACCTTGTTGAGTTTAAAAGAAATGACTTATAAAATGTGTCTGGCCCACAGTGAGAACCCAATATATTTAAGTTTCCTTTTTTCTCCTTTCAAATTGCGTCTTGAATAGTCCCATTGTGCATGTGACATGGTTGCAGAATAGAACACTAACTCAGGCACTCCAAATATAGCTACTTACTGTACTAAAAATACGCTTAAAAATAAAATATCAAATAAAAATACCCTACAGCCACTTGTTGTTGAGATTTATGCTCATTACAATATACCCTACTAGTTAAAGACCCTTGGAGAAATTTCTGGTTCAGTATTAATATTAGAAATAGATACATTTCTCACAAGCAACTAGTTTGTGTTTTTCTTGACTATGAATTGTGCAATTGATCAAATTTCTCTCTGTGGGCTAGAAGAAAGCTTAGAGTCCAATTTGTTGCTTAGATTTAGCAAGTATATAGAAATTCATGGGGTATATTCTTGCATTAACTTCATTCCTATTTTATATCTCTATCAATTTTTTCCCTTGCAACATATTTTTACTTACATTTAATTAATGTGATCTTGGTATATTACATATTTTTTTATATGCTGTTTTAAATCCTGGGAAAAGAATAGGAGACACAGAAAAAAAATGTATCCAAAGCCTTATCAGTCGCTACAAAAAGCTTCATTCTCCTCTAGTTTGGGCACAACCTTGTCCCAATAGTCTAAAGTATTTAAGTTTCACTAATAATAGCACACACTATATAAAACAATGTAGAAAAGGGAGAAAGAAACTTTCCACTTAACTACAAAATATAAACATATATTTATTTATTAAAAAAAAGAGGTAGTACTATTTGCTGTACATTTTGTACAGAAAAACTATCAAGGAAGTTGGATAAATTTTAATCAATATAGAATATTTGTATTCTGTTAAAATTTACACACATAAAAACAGACTTCAAAACTGTTCATTTCCTGTTTAATATTTGAGTAATAACTCAAATATGGTTATAACTTACCAACAGAAACATAATTCAGAGCTGTAGTTTGCTGTTGTTAAAATGTTATGTTTATTGGGATTTATGAGTTCATTATTCTTGTAGATGACTTAATTATATAGTTGCTTATTTTGCATACAAGATTTCAAAAAGCAGGACTTCCAGCATCACAGGGGTTCAAAATGAAGCATAAAAGCTGTGGCTAAATCCCATAAATAACTGCTTAAAGTATAAAAGCCACATATATGACATTGATCTCTAGGGTGTCTGCCTACTTGGAATAAAATAGTCAACGTTCCTTTCTAAGTATGCAAAGTAAAGTTTCTTCTTAAAAATTCTCTCCAGAATTGACTAGCATAGGGCTGACTTCCTTTTAAAACACCAGAATTACCAGACACATTTTTATGTCTTCTTCTAGAGCACTATTACTGTCACAGATATTCAGTTCCTTACTGTGAATAAACAGTGCCCTGGAATCCTTAAAGTTGAAAGCTGGAGTAAACCACAGCGATACATAATCTGAACACACTCCTGTAACAGAAGAGAATGAGGGCAAATAAGATAAGATTCATTTCCCAAGGTCACACTCTACCTTCGACATCATTACTTACAGAATTTATGAGAGATTCCAGTTGAAATCTTTGTCAGAGACGATAATGGTTGAAGAGGGTTTGAGGACTATGTGAGGCACAATCCCTCTACAATGAATTTTTTCCTCTCATAGATGCTCTAGCCCCCATTTTTGGCATCCCCACCCAATAGAGAATACTGTGGTCCTTGGATTAAAATTTTATGGGCCCACAACAATAACAATGATAGTATCTTGTTTTTCAGAATATTATCAAATATTTCATTTAGAATCATCAAATTTCTGGGATGCCTGGGTGGCTCAGTTGGTTAAGTGTCCAACTCTTGATGACTCTTGGTTTCAGCTTGGGTCATGATCTCCCGGTTCATGGGTTTAAGCGCTGCATCAGGCTCTGTGCTGAGAGCGCAGAACCTGCTTGGGATTCTCTCTTTCCCTCTCTCTCTTCCCCTCCCCTGCTCATGCCCTCTCTCTCTCATAAATAACCATTAAAAAAATAGAATTATTGAACTTTTGAGTTGAATGGTGACTTAGACAACTAGCTAGTGATTCTCAATCTTGGCTACATAGTGGAATCACCTGAGGAGCTTCAGAAATCTCTGATGCTTCTTCAACCCCACAGATTCTGATGTGATTGGTCCCAGGTGTGAACTGGGCTTTAGGAGTTGAAAAATATCCCCAGGTGATCCTAATATACCAGGGGGAGCCAAGAACCTCTGATGTAGTCTGACTACTCCCCAGCTCTGAGTTTATTTTGTAGATAAAGTGAGACATGGAGAGTTGAAGACTTGCTCATCAGCAGCTGGTTATGATGGTTAGTTTACAACTTCAATTTAGCCCTGTGTTCCTAAGAAGCACAGCCAGTGAGAGCCTGAGATTTTCACCAGGAGTGCTCCTTGAGACTGTCAGGACACTGGGAAGTCTCTTGCCCTTGGGGCTCCTGGAAGGACACACACAACAAGCCTCCATTATTGGATCAAGATCTCTATGAGGTGGGCATGAATTACCCCCATTTTATAGATGATGAAATTGGTGTTCAAATAGATGTTCATAAGCCCACAGAGTTATATTAGGGTCTATGAGAGCTCTTGAATAAAATCCTATTATAATTACCTCTAAAGTACATTCACTTTATTTTATTATTAGAAATGATGTCCCTTGTCTCAGTACTTAAAACTTAATTGATTCCCAGCCTCACTCATGAATTAAGTGAAAAAAAAAAGCGTTCTTAAAATTAAAAAAAAGAAATGTACTATTGTATGAAGGGATAAACACTTTTACCCTCATGATGTGTGGCTAACAAGGTTTTTTTTTTTTTAATGCCAATAATTTATTTGTAATGACATCCATAGAGGATTTTTCTTATAGTAAAGTCTCATAAGACACATAAATCTAATGGGAAATATTGGATTACATGAGTAAAATGCATGAGATCATGGGTAAAAATATCATACATAAATAACTGCATTTGTAAATCCTGTTCTGAGAGTGGGAGGTAATTATAGTTTCACTGGGAAGGCTTGTCTGAGTCAGCATTGACCTATCAGCCCATTGGCATTTGGAATCCTGTTGGCAGAATTCCCCTCTCACCACTCCATCCTGGCCAGGGCCCTCATCGAAGTGGGGAGGGGTACAAAGGAACAATACCCTTGGTTGATGG